CCTTTTCCTGATACCCAACCCCAGCCTCTCCTGTCACAGCTTCATAAACCAACATTTCCCACACTCCTGGGACAACACAGCCAAGGAAGCCTTTCCCTGGCAGTGCCCAGCTGCCAGCCCACGGTCCCAGCGACGCGTCCGTGACTTCGCCCCGACTCCAGCCTCACCCAGCAGCGCTCCGAGGGGAAGAGGGCAGGGACCTTTGCCTGTGTCACGGGGGCCTCAGCACGGCACGGCACTTTTGGGCACCTGAGCGGAACCAGCACGTCCGAGCCCGAGCCCCCGCGGTGGGGGGGGGGACACACCGATGAGAAGGCAGTGCCGGGTCCCCGGGGGCACGCAGGGAATGTTTTGGCAGCACCGAGGGATGCTGCCCCTCACGCCGAGCTCTCGCCGGGCCTCGCTGCTGCGCAGTCCCGCGGGGGGGAGAGGCTTATCCCGCCGGGTTCCTCCGGGCAGCAGCGCCCCAGCCCCGCGGGGGGATTATCACCGCGGCCCCCCCTGCCCGCAGCCGGCCGGGGGGAGATAAGGGACGCCCAAGGGGGGTAAAAACAACCCCGGGCGCGCAGGGCCGGAGCGGGGCGGGCAGGCCCGGCCCGGCGCCCCCCGGCCGCCAACGACCTTGGGGTGCGCGGGGACGGCCCGGCCCGACGCCCCCGCACGGGGCGGCCCCGGGGGACCCCACCCATGACCGGCCTCCCCCCGCCGCCGGCCCGGGCCGGCTCGTGTCGCCCCGTGTCACCTGCCCCCCGTCAGTGTCACACGGACCCCAGACCCGCGCGTGTCCCCGTGTCCCCGGGCGTGTCACACGGACCCCAGACCCGCGCGTGTCGCGCGGTGTCACCTCCTGCCTCTCGGAAGTGTCACACACACGGACCCCAGACCCACACGTGTCCCCGTGTCCCCGGGCGGGTCACACAGACCCCAGACCCGCGCGTGTCGCACGGTGTCACCTCCCGCCCCCCGTCAGTGTCACACGGACCCCAGACCCACGCGTGTCCCCGTGTCCCCGGGCGTGTCACACTGACCCCAGACTCACGCGTGTCACCCCGTGTCACCTCCCCCCGTCAGTGTCACACGGACCCCAGCCCCACGCGTGTCACACGGTGTCCCCTCCTGCCGCATGTCACATCACCCCAGCCCCACTCGTGTCCCCATTGGGCAACCCCCAGGTCCCGCCTGGGTCACGCTGCCCACGGGCCACCCCACGGGTCACCCTGGTGTCCCCCAGACCCCCTGGTGCCATCCCCCGGGGCACCTTCCCCGGCCCCCAACCCACCCGTGTCCCCACCCTGGTGCCTCTCTGAGCCCCTCGGGGTCACCCTGCCCACGTGTCACCCCTGGGCCACCTCTGTGCCCCCCAGACCCACGGGTGTCACCCCACAGGTCCCTTCTGTGTCACCTTACCCACCTGTCACCCCCGGGCCACCTCTGTGCCCCCCAAACCCACGGGTGTCACCCCACGGGGCATCTCCCCCGTGCCCTCCGGGTCATCCTTTATGTGCCACACCCCCAAAGCCACTCGTGTCACCCCTCGTGTCACCTCTCCGGGCTCCTCTGGGCCACCCACCCCCTTCCCGTGCCCCCAGCCCCATGCGTGTCCCCACAGGTCACCTCCCTGTCCCCCCCAAACCCACTCGTGTCCCCCCCCCGAGTCACCCCGCGCGGGTGTCGCCTCCCCACGCCCCCATCCCCACTCGCGTCACCCCACAATGTCCCTCCCTCCCTCTCGGGTCACCTCCCCGAGCCACCGCGTGCCACCCTCGGTGTCCCCAATGTCCCCGCAGCCACTCGTGTCCCCGGGGCTGCCCCCCGCTCGCTGCCCCCCCACTCCGGGGAGGGGACACGGAGCCCAAGGTCGCGGTGGGCTCCGAGCCAGCCTGGCAAGGACAGGACAAGGCCGGGCTGCGGGCCCGCCGGGGGGGGACACGGGGACACGGGGACACGGCTGTCCCCACCCGGGCGGGGCAGGGAGCAGCTCCCGGAATTCCAGCGCCTTTCCCGGCCCGAGCCGCGTGGAAAAGCGACATTTTCGGGGGCGTTTTTAATTATTAATCATCGGGGGTTTGGGGTTGGTGAGAGGAAGAGAAAGCGAGAGGAGCGAAGCTTTGACCCACACCCCCCTCGGGGGTCGCTGTAACCCCGCGATTTCCCCTTTCCCCCCTTTTTTTTTTGCCTTAAATAACCCCGGCTCAGCTCCTCGCCCGCCCCTCACCCTCCCCACGCCCCCCCCGGGGGGGTTTTGGGTCATTAACCCCACGGAGCAGGTGGGGAAACTGAGGCAGGACGGGGAAGCGCGGCTGGGGGTGGGGATTGAGGGGTCCCTGAGCCCCCGAACGGAGCGGGGGGAGGTTTTGGGGTGGGGTTTGGGGTGGGGTGCCCCAGCAGCCGCAGCTCCCGAGCGCTTTCATTTTCCCCCAGCACGCCTGGGGCGCGCCCGGGGGCGTCCCCCCAAAATATGACCCCCCCCAGAGCTTCCCCGGCACCGAATCCCCCCTGAACTGAACAGGGAGGGGGATCCCCTTAGCCAGCCTGGCTGGGCACCCCCAAAATCCTCCCTGCACCCCCAAAATGCCGCTGTGGCACGAGGGTCGTGGTCACCCCCACCCTGGGGACCCCACGGGACCCCCCCCAATTCCCAGCTGGCACCACCAAAAGCTGGCACAGCTCCCAGGGGGGCAGTGAGTCCATCCTGGGCACCTCAGAGCCACGGGGGACCCCAAAACACCGGGAAAAAACAAACCAGGACCCCCCAAAACAGCACCACGGGAGCCTGGAGTCAGGGACCACGGCTTGGGACCCCCAAAAAATGTCCTAGGAGGAGGCTGGAATTAGGGATGGCAGCATGGAACCTCAAAAAATGTCCCAGAATGAGCCTGGAATTAGGGATGGCACCATGGAACCCCAAAAAATGTCCCAGAAGGAGGCTGGAATTGGGGCTGGCACCGTGCAGGTGTCACCCCCTGAGCCCCTGCATCGTTCACAGCACAAAAACCACAAAATATTTTCCCATTTTGGGGCCCAATTTGCTTTTTTTTTTTTTTCCTTTTCCTTTTTCTTTTTTTTTTTTTTTCCCCAGCTTCACCCAGCTCCCGCTCACCCCAAATACCGAACACTCCTAAATATTTTTTCACCCCACCAAATATTTCCAGTTGGATTCAAGTCCTCGGATTCCACATCCATCCCGTGCCGGGATAATTCCAGCGTCTCCGACTTCCACTGGAGGCAGCCGCTGGCCAGCGAGCCCAGCACATCCCAGGGAGAGCCACCGGCACCTCCCCGAGCTGCCAGAGGCAGCGCTCCCGGCCGCAGTTCCGGCTCCAAAAGGGTTAAACCCACCCGGGGCACAACCGAGGAGAGAAAGCACCTGGAAATGTAAAGTGCCGTTTATTTATTATTTTTCCCACCCCTCCCCATCCATGATGAAAATATCGAGTTTTTTAAAAAAAAAAAAAAACAAACAAACAAAAAAAAAATTAATTGCACCTCATAACTGCTTCATCCACGCTCTCCTCCTCCTTTTCCTCCTCTTCCTCCTCCAAAACCCAGCACCAGAATCTATGGAAAATAACCCGAAACTTGAGGAACCTTCCCTGCTTCCCACATTAAATAAGAGGCAAAATCCATCCCATCGAGCACCCCACGGCTCCAGGGTGGCTTGGCTGGGCATGAGCTGAGCCAGCAAGCACAGACCCCTCAAATTTGGGGTGTTCCCCCCAAAATTGGGGTGTTGCCTCCCCAAAAAATTGGGGTGTCCCCCCTTTGGGTTGCCCTGTGGGTTGGCCCCAGGCAGGGCAGTGCCTTTGTCCTGGGCTGGAAAATAGGAAAGGAAAAGGGATGAGGGATTTGGGGTTACCCAGCCCTGGTAGTTAATTTTTGGGGGGGCTGCCATGGTGGGACCCAGGGCAGGCAGGGGGATGGCAGCTGCCAGTCTGAGTGAAAAACAGCCAAAAAAAAAAAATAAGGAAAAACACCAAAAAATTCCCACTAAACTTCCCAAATCCTCCTGGGAGGGGCTCAGGGGTTGCCAAGCCCACATGGGGAATAATTCACCCCAAAATCCACGTGGGGGGAAGGGAGGGGGTCGGGGCCTGGGGGCTGTCCCTCGGTGGGAGGGACAATCCAGGGACAATGTGGGCTCGGGGTGGGCTCATCCCTGGCCAGGGGGCTCTGACAGGGAATCCTGGAGCTCTGCCACATCCACAACGGCTGAGGCCAGCCCTGGGATGGGCTGGAGGCAGCTGGAGGGGGAAAACGCAGCCTGGGGGGCACCCTGTGCCCCCCATGGGATCAGGAGAGGGACCCCAACCCCTGCAGGAACAGCTGGGCTCTGCCTGCACCTCTCCAGGGAAGGAAAACCCAAAATCCACACTCTCCCCTCAGCTGGACACTGGAAAGTGGGAGCCATCCCCATCCTCATCCTCATCCTCATCCCATCCTCATCCTCATCCCCCTCCCCATCCCATCCTCATCCTCATCCCCATCCCCATCCCCATCCCATCCTCATCCCGGTCCTCATCCTCATCCCAATCCCATCTTCATCCCCATCCTCATCCTCATCCCATCCCATCCTCATCCCCATCCCCATCCTCATCGTCATCCCCATCCTCATCCCTATCCCATCTCATCCTCATCCCATCCCCACCCCATCCTCATCCCATCCTCATCCTCATCCCCATCCCCATCCTCATCGTCATCCCCATCCTCATCCCATCGTCATCCCATCCCCATCCCCATCCCATCCCCCTCATCCTCATCCCATCCCATCTTCATCCCCATCCTCATCCCCACCCCATCCTCATCCTCATCCTCATTGTCATCCCCATCTCATCCTCATCCCATCCTCATCCCCCCAATCCCATCTTCATCCCCATCCTCATCCCCACCCCATCCTCATCCTCATCCTCATTGTCATCCCCATGTCATCCTCATCCCATCCTCATCCTCATCCCATCCTCATCCTCATCCCCATCCCATCTTCATCCCCATCCCCATCCCCATCTCCACCCCATCCTCATCCTCATCCTCATCCCTCCCTCCCTCCTCGGCCCCACGGGTCCAGCCCCTGCCCTGAACACCCAGCTCGGCCAAGGCAGGTTTCAAAGGAACCGTTTAAAGCAGGCCAACAGGGGTCTCTGCTCTGCCCCCAGCCGTGCCCCCAGGCAGGACAGTGACACTGCTCCGGGCCACCCTAGGCAGGGCTTCTCCATCCCTGATCCCACCGATTCTCCATCCCAGAGAGAACAGCAGGGGTGAGGTGAGGCAGCAGCTGCCCCTCATCCCCGCACCGCCCCCTTAACCCCAACACATTTCCAAAACAACAACAAAAAACCGAACCAAAACAAAACCAAACCCAAAATAAAGAAAAACCAAGATAAGCAGCACCACAATTCCCAAGTGTCAGGAGCTCCAGAGCTGGAGCAGAGGCCTGGAACCGCTCCCCACGTCCGAGGGGAGCCCCGGAGGATGGAGCAGCCCCCGGGGCCGGAGCTTTGGCGCTGGGAGGGAGGAAGGAGGGGCAGCTGTGCCCTGGAGGGAGGAGAGGAAGCGGTGCCAGAGGCAGGAGTGCCAGGCCGGGCTCACACGGCAGCTCGGGTGGGAGTGCTGGGCTGGTTCAGCCGCAGCGTCCGGCACAGCCAGCCCGCGAAATCCACCTCCTCCACCTCGGAGCGCTTGATGAACGTGTGGCTCTGCAAGCACAGGGGAAAACACGGTCAGGAACACCCCAGAGGAGCATCCCAGATCCCAAAAAGGCAGATCTGTGCTGTGGGATGTGCCCTGGAGAGGGGGGAAGGTGCTGGTGCCGCAGATGAGGCAGAAGAGAGGATTTGGGGAAAACATTCCTCCCACCATCACAGGGAGGAATTCCTTCCCAATCTCCCATCCAGCCCTGCCCTCTGGCAGTGGGAGCCATTCCCTGTGTCCTGTCCCTCCATCCTTGTCCCCAGTCCCTCTCCAGCTCTCCTGGAGCCCCTTCAGGCCCTGCAAGGGCTCTGAGCTCTCCCTGGAGCTTCTCCTCTCCAGGTGAGCACCCCCAGCTCTTCCAGAGGGGCTCCAGGCCTTCCTCTGGACTCTCTCCAGGTCCTTGTGCTGCTGCAGCAGAGCTGGAGGCAGCTCTGCAGGTGGGGTCTCAGCTGAATCCCCCCTTTCCCTGCTGCCCAGGACTCTGCTGATCTCTGGGATCAGAGCACAGCTGGGATCCAGCCCTCAGTGCCACCCCCCTGCCCAGGTGAGGAGCCAGGGCTGTGCCAGCAGGGCCTGGCCAGGCTCCCAGCACTGGGTAAAGGGGGTCAGTCCCTCCCTCTGCCCCACCCTGAGCTCAGCCTGCCAATTCCCAGCCTTTGGAGCAAGAGGGATGGATGGGGCAGCAGCTGGCAGAGCTGGTGCCACCCCAGAGCAGCAGAAAAATCCTCTCCCCACTCACCATCAGCATCTTCAGATCTGCTCGTTCTGCTGGGTTTTTAATTAAGCTGAAATGAGAACAAGAGAGGGAAGCCAAGGTGAGATTCCTTGTGGGAAGGTGGGGATCAGGCTGGAGAAGCTGCAGCTTCCCCCAAAACCCCTCAGGATCCCAGGAGAGGGATCCCTGCCAGCTCAGCTCCCAGGAAGAGCTGCAGGATCCATCTCTTCCAGACTGTGGGGACAAACTGTGCCCTGCAAATGGAGAAAAGGCCCCAAAGCTTGGCAGGAATCTGGGATTTAATATCCAGCCTCTGGTTCACTGGGAGCTCTGGCAGCACCTTCAGGTGTCCCTGTGCCCACGGGGTGACTCAGCCCCAGGATCTGCTCCACCACCCCCCTTGCCAGGCTCAGCTTTAGAAGGAGCTGGGATCCTGCTCAGCAGCCCCACAAATAAATTGCTTTTATTCCAACCCTTCCCAAGGCAGGAGCTCCCAGCACAACGTGGGATCAGGCAGGGAGAGAGAGAGATCAGGCAGAACACAGAGGGTGGAGCTGCAGAGCTGTCAAGGAGCACGTCCAAGCCTCCACCTTCAGCCAGGAGATGAAATCCTCACCATTTATTTACAAACTCCTGGAAATCTTGCGTGAAGACTCCACTTGGCAGCTTGGGAGGTGGCTGTGGAGAGAAGGAAAAGGGGTTCCTGCACCACTCCTGTGTTACTGTGCCAAAAATGAGTGTCAGCTGCAGTGTCAGGGAGCTGTGCTCTACAGCCACTCTCATCCTCCTCATCCTCACTGCTTTTCCAGCCAGGAAATCCCTTCCCTGCCACTCCTCCCACTGCTGCTCCAGCTCCCTCTGCACCCGGGGGACCCCACACTGAACCCCAGCCAAAGCTGGGAGATCACCAAGCATCCCAATCCTAAATCCAGCCTGACAAATCCCAGCTCTGGCCGTGCCTATGGCTGATGAAACAATCCCAAAATGAGGATTTTCCATCACCCTGTTTGTGTGAGCTGTCCTTGCAAGCTGGACAGGGAGGATGGCCTTAAACTGAAGGAGGGAAGGTTTAGGTGGGATTTTGGGGAGAAATTCCTCCCTGTGAGGGTGTTGGGGCCCTGGCATGGAATTCCCAGAGCAGCTGTGGCTGCCCCTGGATCCCTGGAGTGCCCAAGGCCTGGCTGGAGCAGCCTGGGATAGTGGGAGTTGTCCCTGCCATGGCAGGGGTGGCACTGGATGAGCTTTAAGGTCCTTCCAACCCAAACCATTGTGGGATTCCACGAGTGACCAAACATTCCAGATCCCACCCTGACTCAGCAGAGCAGAACATCCCTGTGGAAGCTGTGGGAAAACAAACAAACACCCACCTCGTTAACGATGTAATCCAGCAGCTCAAAGATGGCCATGGCAGGCCTGGTGTCCATCCCGTGCCCTGGGGGGGGACACGACACAAACGGTGCTGAGAGGCTGCTCAGGGCTCAGTTTGGGGTGAAAAACACGACTTTGGGGGAGCTCTGCTGGGAGAGGCTGAGGAAACTCCCAGGGGAATTGAGCCATGGTTAAAGAGAAACCAAGTTCATTCCCAGAATTTGGATTTCTTTCACCAGACCTCCAGCCCAGATTTATTTATGTTTGGACAGCACCAGACCATCTACTCTGGCTGGCTGGCAGCACTTCCAGAGCCTTCTGCTCCCAAGGAAACGGCTCCAGCAGAGCCTCCCTGGAATCCTGCTGCTGTTTGGTGCTTCTGTGAGAGCTCCCAGCAAAGCTCTTCCCAAAAAGCTGCCCGAGGCCTCAGGAGAAGCTGCTGGCAGCACAGGCAAAGCCTGAGGAGCACAGGGGGCTGTGACAACGGTTCGAGGGACATTCTCTCCACGGGAGCCACATCCCAGCTGCGCCCACAGCACGGGGAGGGGCTGAGGACGGGGATAACATTTTTGTGGTTCTAAGGAACCCAGGGACAGCTCCCAAATCCATGCTGAGAGGCCCCTCCGCAGGCTCCCACCTGGATTCCACCAACCTGCGGCGGGGTGGGCCGTGCTGGAGCCAGTGTGGATCTCCCTCCAAAGATTCCCAGCGGAGCCTCCTCCAGGGCAGCTCCCCCAGCCGCCCCCCAACCCCTCATCCCCCATGGAAGCGTTGCTGCCGATGCACACCACAGCCCCTACCACTGACGGGGCGTCCTGGGGGCCTGGCCCGCGGCGAGATGCTGGGGGACTCTCCCTCCGCCCCGTCCACCACAGGACGGCCAAAAATTGCTTCCAGTTCCTTGGAGTCTGGCGGGGGGATTGGGTACCTTCCGATCGACAGCTCCACTAGGGACAGCCCCATGCTCCAGATGTCCGACTGCACCGAGTAGTGCGTGCCCTGCAGGCGCTCGGGCTGCGGGGAGAGCGGAGCTCAATGGCATTGGGAATGGGGATAAAGGCACTCGGAATGGGGATAAAGGCACTGGGGATAATGGCACTGGGAATGGGGATGGGGATAACAGGGAGAGCGCAGAGCTCAGGGGTGGGGTGGGGATAACGGGGATGGGGATAATGGCATTGGGAATGGGGATAAAGGCACTCGGAATGGGGATAAAGGCACTGGGGATAATGGCACTGGGAATGGGGATGATGGCACTGGGAATGGGTGATAATGGCACCCAGGGCACAGGGAATGGGGGTGACATGGAATGCTGGTCCCCAGAGCATAGGAACACCCACTGACATGGGATATGGACGCCCAGGACACAGGAGCACAGGGTAACATGGGATAGTGACACCAAATACAAATATCCTGTATGGATGAGACTCACTCCAGTGCCTAAAGGGGCTCCAAGGGAACTGGAGAACTTTGGACAAGGGACAGGACACAGGGAATGGCTTCACACGGACAGAGGCANTGGGGATAACGGGGATGGGGGTGGGGATAAAGGCAGTGGAAATGGGGATAATGGGGATGGGGATAATGGGGATGGGGATAAAGGCAGTGGGAATGGGGATAATGGCACTGGGAATGGGGATGATGGCACTGGGAATGGGGATGATGGCACTGGGAATGGGGATAATGGCACTGGGAATGGGGATAATGGCACTGGGAATGGGGATAAAGGCACTGGGAATGGGGATAAAGGAAGTGGGAGTGTGGATAAAGGCAGTGGGAATGGGGATAAAGGCACTGGGAATGGGTGATAATGGCACCCAGGGCACAGGGAATGGGGGTGACATGGAATGCTGGTCCCCAGAGCATAGGAACACCCACTGACATGGGATATGGACGCCCAGGACACAGGAACACGGGGTAACATGGGATAGTGACACCAAATACAAATATCCTGTATGGATGAGACTCACTCCAGTGCCTAAAGGGGCTCCAAGGGAACTGGAGAACTTTGGACAAGGGACAGGACACAGGGAATGGCTTCACACGGACAGAGGCAGGGATAGATGGGATTTTGGGAAGCAACTCTCCCCTGGCAGGGTAGGCAGGCCCTGGCACAGGGTGCCCAGAGCAGCTGGGGCTGCCCCTGGATCCCTGGCAGTGCCCAAGGCCAGGCTGGGGCAGCCTGGGAAGGTGTCCCTGCCATGGCAGGAGTGGGACTGGATGGGCTTTAAGGTCCTTCCAACCCAAACCATTCTGGAATTGTGTAATATCCCAAAGGCCTCTCCAGGGAAGGGACAGTCCCAGAAGGATCATGTGCAAAGGGGATGGAAAAGAAGAATGATGTGCAGACAAAAAGCACTTGGAGCATCTAATCCACACTCCCAACTCAGCAGCATTCCCAGCTACTTGTGTTTGGGAACACCCAGCAGGAATCTATTTCTCTGTGTGCTGAAATCTAAGGAACTCAACTTATCCATAAAAATGTATTTCCCTGCTCTCTGCTGTTAACACCCAAGAGGAACCAGAGGAGCAGAAAATCCACTTGAGGTTATGGCCATTAAAAGAAAAAAATTAGAAATAAATCAATCGATGCAAGTCATCCCCACTGGCAGCTCTGAGGCAGCCTGGAGCCAGGGCCTGGGAGCAGAGGGGGCAGGATTTTTAAATACCCCCTGTCTAACTATAACTGCACTTGAATAACCATTCCCAAAATACAGGAGCAGCTCAGACCTCAGGATCCTTCCCTGGGAGGGTGGGCAGGCCCTGGCACAGGATCCCAGAGAAGCTGGGGCTGCCCCTGGATCCCTGGAAGTGTCCAAGGCCAGGTTGGACAGGGCTTGGAACAACCTGGGACAGCGGAAAGAGTCCCTGTGGACAGGATGGGGATGGAAACAGCTGAGATGAACCCAAATGACCCAAAAAAACCCAGCTGGAAGGAACTTACAGACATGTAGGACCGAGTTCCCACAAAGGAGTTGGCCATGGAGTCAATGAGCTGCCCGCTGACCCCGAAATCACAGAGCTTGATCTCCCCTCTGGAATTCACCAGGATGTTGGAGGGTTTCACATCTGGGAACAGCGAGAGAGGGGAGTGTGAAGGTGGCTCTGGGTGACACCTGGCACTGCAGGCTGGGATTCTCAGGGTCCTGCTCTCACCTCTGTGCATGATTTGGTGCTTCTCCCGCAGATAGGCCAGGCCCCGCAGAACCTGGGAGGAACCCAAAGGCTGGATGAGAGCAGAGCTCAGGGAGCAGCTCTGCCCTCAGCCCAAGGAGAGCTGCCCTGTGCTGTCCATGTCCCTCAGGGTTTGCAATTCATCCCCAGCTCCATCACAGATTTTGGGTGAACCACCCAAAAAAAGCTTCTCCCAAACCTCCTCGAAGTGATGGCAACATTATCCAGAGGGGTTGGAGGTGGGGAAAGGGGTTGGGAATATTTCCCCTCTGCTCTGGCCTCTTGGTCCAGGAAAGTGCAGCCCCCAGGACTGGGAAACACAGAAAGCTTCCCAGGGCAGCCCAGGAATTATTCCCAATCCCTGCCCAGCAAATCCTCCCTGGAAGCCTGAGCAGCCCCATCACTCACCGCTATACTGACTTTGCCCAGGATTTCCTCAGGAATTCTTTTGGCTTCTTTCAGCACTTGATCCAAAGAGCCACCATCCTGAAATAAAGAACATGGGAATGACCAACACAGCAATTCCCAGCAGGAAAACAGAGCAGCTGGATGTACAGGGGAGCAGATGGTGGGTGACCAGCATTGAGCACACTCCTTTTTCAGCCACAAAAAAATAAAAGATCTGGTGATCTGAGCTCAGGTTCATCACTGAAAACTGGTGTTTTTAGCAGTTCTGCTTCTTGCTGTTGGTTCTTTGCTTCCTTCCACCAGTGGAAATGCCAAGATGGTGCTGATTTGGAGCAGAAATAACATAGTTCTCCACCAGAAACAACAGAATTTGTTCACTCAGCCTCTCAGCAGGCTCTGCAGAGCAGTGGCTTGGCAACATTTCCGTTTGGCCAAGCCCCAAACTTGCTGCTTCCTCTTCCCAAAAGTCGCTGTCTCCCTGATCCCGAGGCCCGAGCAGGAATGTGTGGCTCCCACCAGGAGCAGAGTGGGCACAGCAAGGAGCTGCCAGTGGCCCAAGGCACCGGGCTGGCAGGGAGAGGGCGTTTGGGAGGGTGCAGGGAGGGCAGGGCCTCACCATGTGCTCCATGCAGATGGAGATCTCCCCGTCGCTGTAGAAGGCTCCATAGAAGCCCACGATGTAGGGGGAGTTGCACTCGTGCAGCACCTGCAGCTCCCGGATGATCTGGTTCCTGATGGCTGGTTTGATTTCCAGATGGATCAGCTGCCAAGAGAGGAAACAGGCAAGGTGTGACTCCTGGGAAGGGAAAGAACTGAGGGGCAGCAGCCCTGAGTGCTGGGAAGAAATCACATCTCCAAGGGAGGCGCTGCTTTGGAGCAGAATTTTTCCCATTTGCAGGCTGATGTTAAGGATGAAGTGCCAGGACACGGGGAATGGTTTCCCCACTGCCAAAGGGCAGGGATGGATGGGATTTTGGGAATAAACCCTGGGAGGGGGGTGAGGCCCTGCAATGGAATTCCCAGAGAAGCTGTGGCTGCCCCTGGAAGTGCCCAGGGCCAGGCTGGACGTGGCTTGGAGCAGCCTGGCACAGTGGAAGGTGTCCCTGGCCATGGCAGGGGTGGCACTGGGTGGGATTGAAGGTCTCCCCAACCCCATCCCGTGGGGGATGCCATGCTGCAGGCAGAGGAGAGCTCTGTGCTGCCTCAGCCACGGAAGGCGCCGGGATCGCACCGGACACGGGTGGAAAGACGAGTCAGGAGTTTGATCTCAGCCCCTCTGAGTCAGCAGCCAGGAGCATTTTCACAAGCTCTGGAGGTGTTGTAAGAAGGTGCTCCCAGATCAAGGAAACCACAGAAAAGAAAAAGCCCCTGTGAAGGTTCTGCACAAGAACGAGCAGCGGCTTTTGGGGCCGCACGTGGGGTCAGAGCGGAGCAGGGAGGGAAACAGCCTGGGCTGGTGAAAGGAGGCCCTGCCCAGGGGGCTGGGTGAGCTCTAGGGCCCCTTCCAACCCAAACCACTCCAGGAATCCATGATCCCAACAGCAGGAGGGAGGAGGGACTCTGGAGGAGGCAGAGCAGAGGTTGTGCTGCTCCTGCCAAGCACAGCCTCTCCCGGCAGGCAGATGAAGCAGCTCCTGATTTTCTACTCTGTGGCACCACAGGAGATGTTCCCAGTGAAGCCAAGCCTGAGAGGAACCTCTGTCCCTGCTTGGAGTGACCATGGGATGTGTTTAATGGGGCTGAGGGATGTGTGTGCCAAACCCATCCTTCCCACTGCCACGACCTACAATCCTCAGGAGATCCAATTCCAGTCGCTTTGTCCACCAGAACTGGGAAAAAAAAATAAAACTCCTGTTTTCCAGAGCCCAGGGATCTGTCACTGGGAGCACAGCCTCTCCCAAAGGAGACAGCTCCACGTGGGAGCCCTGCTCCTGACCACGGTGAGGTGGTGAAGGTGCAAATGCAGAGAGGATCCAGGCAAACCCAGCCCTGCTGGAGGCAGGCAGAGCTCCAGGTGCTCCCCAGCCCTCCCAGCCCCTCGTTACCTTGCGTGCCATAACGAGCCCTGAGGGTTTGTGCTGCACTTTGGTGACCACCCCGCCATTGCCAGCGCCCAGCTCCGAGATCCTCTCGAAGTCGTCGTCCTTCAGCTCCCCAACTTTGGCTTTCTGTGTCAGGAAAGCTTCCAGGCGCTTCTTCTGCTGCTCATCCAGCTCCAGCTCCTCCAGCTTCTTCTGCAGGTCCACCAGGTTAGCCCTGAGAGGGGAGGAGGAGATGGGAGACAGGCAGCACCAGGGAAAGGAAGGAGGGTGCAGTTCTCAGGAAACGATGGAAAATCACCCCCTGACATGTCCTGAGCCCCCCACAATGGGACCACCTGGACAGGAACACCTGGAGAAGTCCCTGCCCGACACACAGAGCCCCTCTGGAGAGGAGCTTGGGAGCAGCCAGGTGTTTTGGGAGAGCCAAGGAACAGGAAAAATCCTTTGGCCCTTAAGGAGGCAGCAGCAGATGCTGCTCCCTGTCGCGGGGAGCCAAACTTGGCTTTGGTGTGTAACACGAGAAGGGCTCTCCATGGGGTCCAGCAGCTCTGTGACACCCCCACCCCAAATCCTGAGCACAAAGGGGGGTCTGTGCTGCCCCAGCACCAGCTGCCGAGCCCCCACCGCCTGTGCCAGCTCCAGCTGCTCATCCCAGTTGCTGCCACCCCCTCACCCACACTGGGACATGTCGGGAGGGTCTCACCCCATCCCCTCCACCACCTCTCACCCCACACATCCCATCTGCTGAGCCCCAGGTGCCCCCCAGACCCCGGCCCCCCATCCCAGCTCCAAGCTGGGGCTCCAGGCCTGGGCCCGGCCCCCCCCCAGGCCTGAGCTGCCCCCTGCAAACCGGGGGGGCCAGAGCAGCCTCCCCCTGCCCATCCCACCCCTTCCAACCCTCAACCTTCTCCTCCAGCTCTGCCTCACCTTCCCCACACGGCCCAGGCCGGGCCCATCCAGCCCCCAGGCCGGGCCCGGCTCCCCCGGACCTGTCCCAGCCCCCCCAGGCCTTCCCTGTCCCCCCGAGCCTGCCCCAGGTCCCCCCTCAGACCTTCCCAGGCCTCCCCAAACCCGTCCCGGTTCCTCCAGGCCTTCCCTGGCTCTCCCCACACCCCGCGCCCGCCCTGCCCCGACCCCCCAGGCCCGGTGCCCGCTCTGTCCCGGCCTCCCCGCTCTGCCCAGGCCCGGGGTGCCCCCCAGGCCCAGCCCCGCTGCCGGGGCGGTCCCGGCCGGGCCTGACTCACTCTGCGGAGCCGTCGGGGCTGGGCCCCTCGGCGGCGCTGGGGGCGATGTTGAGGGCGGGCAGCACCGGCTTCCTCTTGGCCGGCATGGCCGGGCCGGGCCGCGCCTGCGGGGCCGGGGGGGCGCGG